TATAGGGCAAGATGTGGATTTTGTTAGTTTTTTCTTATGCCTCTTTTGCATATCTTAGGTTTGGAAAAGCCTCTGACCCAGAATCACCAAGAGCTATTCCAAAATAGGACAGGACGTAAGAAGTTCACTCCAAGTAGCTTGGCCTGAAAATAGGAAATGAGAAGAGAGTTACAGACCAGCTGCACTGAGGAATGAAGACCTGTTGTGTGTATTCCCCAATCTGATTGACTTGCTCAGGGTAAGTGGCCATCTAAATCTATTCTTTTCTTCTTTATCTACTTAACAAGACCATCAAAATAACTGCTATTTTACTCTTGTTTAGTGGGATGACCTTCATCCTAAACAAAATTAATGTGAGTTATTTTTCTGTATCTTGTGTTCTTCAATGGGGTTTAGGTCCTGGATTATGGCATCTTGGTAATTTTAGGTTTATAGAACTTTACAAGGGCCTATTTGTCTGTCAGTTCCCAAACAGGAAACTTCCTAAGGCCCCCATCTAATTTATCTCTCTCTGGCTATAGTCATAAATTTGTTTATTCATTTATTCTCTCTCATTCAAACATTTTGCAAGCTTGTTCTCTCAAAGTTACTGTATTACATTCATTGAAGATTACAGTGATGAACAAGATGTCCTTTGCTCCAGGAGCTGCAGAGACTCTTACTTAACACATACAAGAGTATGGTTAGTACTGTAATGGAGGCGAAATACTGTGGGACACAGAGGGTGTAATGGTTCATTTGGGCAAGGAGAGATTGGTCAGTGCTTTGTATAAGACGTTGCATTTTTGACTGGGTTTTAAAAATGATTAGGATCTTGACAGGCAGAGAGATGGATGGCCATTCTAAGTTAACAGCTAACATAAAGACACTGATTGGTGAAGTATTTAGTAAACAGTTAATACTCTATTCCTTTGAGAGCCTGTTCCTTTCTCCTCCTCTTATACTCTTATTAAAAGATTTTTGTTGTTGTTGTTGTCCCTTCTCTCTTTTTAGTTAATTTTACCTTTTTTGTTTTCCTGTAGTTCTTAGTGGTAGGTCTTATGGCATTAGTTCTGTAGTTTAGGACCCAGAGATGTAGAATGCAGGATCACCTGGTTACCCTCCAAGTGGGGTGCCGGGCAACATTATTTCAGCCTGTGTTTCAGAGTGTATGCTTAGCATCGATAACAAATCTTTCTTTGCATGCACTGGATATATATGACTCCATGCTAGAACAGAGTAGAATAGACCAGAACTTTCCAGAGCATATGTCAGACTCTTGCCCCATCGGCCCACCCCATGTTCTTGACATTTGTTTGCTTCAAAAATCTCTTACCAACTTATCCCTTCCTCTTTCCTACCAAGCAAAGGAGCATTGTACAAAGACCTGAATGCATTCTGCCCTAGTGGCTTTCTTTTTCCAAAAACATTTATCTTTACGGTCACCCATTTTTTCTTCTGTTTATTTTCAACAATTAGGGAGTTATTTAAAAAGCCCCCTCCCTTCCCCAAAAGGACCATCTTCCTTATTTCAGGGACTAGCAGGTAGGGGTGAAGGTTTGGGAATAGATCCTATTTTGAAAAACCTGGAAAGAAGACAGTTGATAGCACATAAAAAGGAGGAGACAGGCCACCCTGATACCTTTTCTGGAGAAAATCTACAGGGGAATCCAAGCAGAGATGGAAAAAAATCCTGTATGATTTATACTCTTGGGAAGTCCTGTACCCAGTGAATTATTTGCTTTGACTTAGTTGTGTATGGGCTGGTTCTTCCCTGACCCCTCCATCTCCCCGCCCTCCGACCAAGACAAATGAGGCTCAGCTAAGGAAAGTGAATATAAGATACCTTCCCCCAAACGGAACCCCTCTTAACTCTCATGAATGACAAGTAGGCCTGTTAAAATGTGTGAGCACTGAGAATTACTTAATCAGTTAACCATGGTATTTTCTCTGGGGTAGGAGGCTGAAGCATCTATCTCCAGAAATGTCTTTGGAAAGTACAGAGCAACATGGCCTTGCACTCAAGGACTCAGTTGAAGGAAATGACCAATACAGTCTTCCGTCTGGGATCCATCTGGAGCTTGAAAAGGAATCAAGTACTGACTTCAAGCATTTTGAGGCTGATAATCAATGCAGACAATATCCTAGGATCCACATGGAACCTCAAGAGAAATCAAATACTAACTTTAAGCAGTTTGTCACAAAAAAACTACAGAAGAGTTGCCAGTGCAGCCCAACCAAAGCAAAAAATATGATTTTTGGTTTCCTTCCTGTTTTGCGGTGGCTCCCAAAATATGATCTGAAGAAAAATATTTTAGGAGATGTGATGTCTGGCTTGATTGTGGGCATCTTGTTGGTGCCCCAATCCATTGCTTATTCCCTCTTGGCTGGCCAAGAACCGATCTATGGTCTGTACACTTCTTTTTTTGCCAGCATCATTTATTTCCTACTGGGGACTTCCCGTCACATCTCTGTGGGCATTTTTGGAATACTGTGCCTTATGATTGGTGAGGTAGTTGACCGAGAACTACACAAAGCTGGCTATGACACTGCCCACATTGCCCCTTCTTTAGGAATGGTTTCAGATGAGAGCACATCATTAAACCAGACATCAGACTGGATATGTGACAGAAGTTGCTATGCAATTGCAGTTGGCAGCACCGTAACCTTTATGGCTGGAGTTTATCAGGTAAGAAACAATGGAACGAGTGGTTGTTTCTGGCAAGAGAAATCACTATGCATGAAGTTTCAGATCTGTAAGGGATCTTAAATACCATAATAAATAAAGCTGTCATTTATTGAATGCTAAGGATAGATGAGGGGTAGAGAAAAAATGCAAACCCTGGTTTGACTCTACAGGTAAGATAAGGCTGCTTCTCTTTTCTCAACCCTGTGTTGCGTCTTAACCAATGAATTTCAGTCAGCCAGATTTTAATTATTTGGTTGTAAAAATTTAGACCAGAAAGGGACCCCAGACCACCCAGTATACAAGTAACTCCTTCATTTTATATGTTGAGAAATATTGCTTTGCTGGAGATGCTGTGTGATTGGTTATTGGCAGAGTCAGCACTAACAGGCAGGCTGGAAGGTAACAGAATGGGGGTTGGGAGAGGAGGAATGCAAGAATCTCAAACTATAGATGACCATCTGCCACCCTTTCCTTTAGGATTGTTGCTCTAGTGAGTAACTCTCACTAAAGATAGTTCTCTTGGACTGTTGGGGAGGGGAAAAGTTGAAGACCGCTATTTTTTATTATCAGTCAGAGAAAGGATTAGAAATAAAATTCTTCTTGGGTCTCCCATAGAATCCACTGATCTGCCGTTATCATCATGCCCCTGCCTTTTGACATTTGCAAGTCAGTGCCACCATTAAACCTCTTCTCTATTACAGGCATTTGGAACCAATAAGAGAAGGGAAAGAGTAGCTCCCTTTTTTTGGTCCTTGGATGAGGCGGAGAGGGAGAAGGCATGGCGTGCAGAAGAGTTGTGTTCCTCAGGGTCCATTTTTGCTTTTCTGTTAATATGCCTCACCGAGAATGAACAAGAGTGCAACAGAATGCTGAGGAATTATTGGGAAGAGGAAAAAAGAAATAAAGTTGTATCTTTGAGGATGCAGAAAATATGTGAAGGAGTATGGTATAAGCACATATACTCGTACAGTGGATGAGAATAGTTTCCAATATGAGGTTAAAGACCATTCCATAATAATTTCAAAAGTGGGATTCTATTTGGATGTGAATCTAATTTTTGGTTTTATCAGTTAAAACTTCACTTTTATGGTTATGATTTGTAATTTAAAGAAAATACATGGTTTTTTAGTAAGAATTTTTCCAATTTGCGTTTTTATGATTTCTTGTGGGTCTTTGAGAATTTTTTTCTTTTTGAAAGAGGTCTGAATCTTATTCAAGTTTAAGAAGCATTGTACAAGAAAATAGGGTCTCCGTGCAAAATCAAACAAACAGAAATGCCAGGGTAATACAGGATTTAGAGGCTTTTTTCCATTTGTATCTAACATTTGTATATCCTTCCTTCCAGGTAGCAATGGGCTTCTTTCAAGTGGGCTTTGTTTCTGTCTACCTCTCAGATGCCTTGCTGAGTGGATTTGTCACTGGTGCCTCCTTCACTATTCTTACATCTCAGGCCAAGTATCTCCTTGGCCTCAGCCTTCCTCGGAGTAATGGCGTGGGCTCACTCATCACTACTTGGATACATATCTTCAGAAACATCCATAAGACCAATCTCTGTGATCTCATCACCAGCCTTCTGTGCCTTTTGGTTCTTTTGCCAACCAAAGAACTCAACGAGCACTTCAAGTCAAAGCTTAAGGCACCAATTCCTACTGAACTCATTGTCATCGTGGCAGCCACATTAGCCTCTCATTTTGGAAAGCTAAATGAGAAATACAATACCAGTATTGCTGGACATATTCCCACTGGGTTTATGCCACCCAAAGCACCGGACTGGAACTTAATTCCTAGTGTGGCTATAGATGCAATAGCTATTTCTATCATTGGTTTTGCTATTACTGTTTCACTTTCTGAGATGTTTGCCAAGAAACATGGCTACACCGTCAAAGCTAATCAGGAAATGTATGCCATTGGCTTTTGCAATATCATCCCTTCCTTCTTCCACTGCTTTACTACTAGTGCAGCTCTTGCAAAGACATTGGTTAAAGAATCAACAGGCTGCCAAACTCAGCTTTCTGGTGTGGTGACAGCTCTGGTTCTTCTGTTGGTCCTCCTCGTAATAGCTCCTTTATTCTATTCCCTTCAGAAAAGTGTCCTTGGTGTGATCACTATTGTAAATCTCCGGGGAGCTCTGCGTAAATTTAAGGATCTGCCCAAGATGTGGAGGGTTAACAGAATGGATACAGTTATCTGGTTTGTTACTATGCTGTCCTCTGCACTGATAAGTACTGAAATAGGCCTGCTTATTGGGGTTTGTTTTTCTATGTTTTGTGTCATCCTCCGCACTCAGAGGCCAAAGAGTTCATTGCTTGGCATGGTGGAACAGTCTGAAATCTTTGAATCCATGTCTGTTTATAAGAACCTTCAGGCTAAGCCGGGCATCAAGATTTTCCGCTTTGTAGCCCCTCTCTACTACATAAACAAAGAATATTTTAAATCTGCCTTATACAAAAAGACTGTCAACCCAGTCTTAGTAAAGGCAGCTCAGAAGAAGGCAGCAAGGAGAAAGGTAAAAAAGGAAACAGTGAATCTCAGTGGAATCCAGGATGAAGTTTCAGTGCAGCTTTCCCATCATCTCTTGGAGCTCCATACCATAGTGATTGACTGTAGTGCAATCCAGTTTTTAGATACAGCTGGGCTCCATACGCTGAAAGAAGTTCGCAGAGATTATGAAGCCATTGGCATCCACATTCTGCTGGCTGAATGCAATCCCTCTGTGAAGGATTCCTTGGCCCGGGGAGAGTATTGCAAAAATGAAGACGAAAACCTCTTTTATAGTGTATATGAAGCAGTGGCTTTTGCAGAAGAAACTCAAAATCAGAAAGGGATATGTATTCCCAATGGTCAGAGTCTTTCCAATGATAAGTTGAATAAGTAAATGGAAGGAAGAATAATGTCTAGCCAACAGCAACTTGCACACTTGAAATTTTAACCTATTGGCTAGACATTATTCTTCATTTGAAGCTGATGGCCTTTGTAGATACACAAATGCAGTAGAGCTTATAGTTAGGCAGAATCAAAAAGAATATTGTGGTTTCAAGCTTTCTTGCAGATAGGAGGTATTCTTGGAATTAAACATCTGTTGAATTGAACTATGAAGTGGCACTAAAAATAAAACTTAGTGACCATCTTCTTTTAGGAGATATGCATTTGGACTCTTCTCGAGGAGGTTAAGGGGTGAAGGTGGCATTTACGAGAAGTGCTGGAGCCTACCTGATATGGCTTTTTGGAGAGAGAGTGGAAAGGAGGCAGGGAAAGAATGTTGTGCCTGCTCCTGTATGAGCAGATCAAGAGGCATCTGGAGCACAAAGTAATAACTAGACAACTTTGTTCTTATTTATACTTCTCCATACACAGTCTTTGCTCCCAAGATGACAGTAGGATCTCTGGTTTTTAATAGGAAAGCACCATTCCTGTCCTTAAGGCAGGGAACCCCTGGCACAGTCTCATCAGGAGTCTGATGGCTGGGCATGTTTGACAGCCAGCTCCACGTTTTACAGAACACTCTCTGTAATCCATGTTTTTAGTCAGGCCTTTTTTTTTAGGGTAAGGAGGTAAGCAAAGAGCTCTTCATAATTATCAAAAATAGTGGGAATCCTCCCTATCTTTTCTGTGATCTCTGTCTGTCCCTGTTTTCTGAGTATTTCCCTACCTCTAAGCTCTAATGTAGCTCTCCGTCTTTGAGTGTATTTCCCATGGAAACTGCTATGTCTCCTTCCCAGTGATAAGCTTGCCAGATTAAGAGGCAGAATGGCAACTCTGCAATTCTGTAGAGCATTTTAAATTAGCTTGAGGCAAACTGTTTAGGACAGATCACAAATAGGAATGATTGACAGCTTCACTTAATTTGTTTACTTGGGCTACGCCCACGTGCAACTAAGACTGAACTTGGCACCTTGAGCTTAGAGGCCACGAGCTGCCTACGGGAAGCCAGATGGCGACTGGTGCCCTCCACATCTAAGACTGAAGGACAACAACTTGGCTGGTCCCCTCTCCCAATTCCCCAATAAAAAAATCTAAAATAAATAAATAAATAAATAAATAAAAATAAAAACCTGGGATAAGATCGGAAAAAAAAAAAGAATTTGTTTACTTAACAGTGAATTTTTTTTGTTCCCTTCTCGTGGCATTTTAGCAAGGGTCTTTAGGGGATTGACAGTCTTTTTCAAATAGAAGCTACTGTTCATCTTTCCTCTGCAAGAAAAATGTATTGTAACCAATGGAAAAGAATGCACAGAAGCGTCCAAAGAAACATCAATAATTAACCTGTAGATGTTTTAGTGAAAACAAAGCTAATGCTTACTGCCATGGGCCCTGTTGATTTATAATAAATATTGATGACAATGACAGCTTTTGACTCTTTGGGCTACCTAAAACTATTATGCAAGAGTATTTTAGAAGTATTACATTCATACTACAACCCAATTATGTATTATTTATGATAGCTGGCCACAGGTTGTGGCTACAAGAAGAGTTCCTTTTGAAAAGCAAGTATGTCTGACATTGAAAGCTTATAGTTCCTGTATCTGGACCTTGATAGGTGAGGAAAAAACCAGGTTTTCCAAAGTAAGCACTAGGAGACTAATTTGTGTGAGATTGAAACATTTAGCCACACCATTTAAAACAAAATAATATTTGCAAAAGTGCAAAATCATTTTTTAACTTGCTCCTACATTCTAAACTATTTAAATATTTATGAGCAGCAAACCCTGTCTGTTGGAGTCAGACATTTTTTAAACATATTTTGCTCTCTTGTTGGCTCTGTAAACTGTAAATGTTGTTTTTCTATTGGTAGCTCTGCCCATCTGTTTACATGGAAAATACCTTTCTGCTATTAAAGCAGTTTCTTGGTAGAAAAGCTGGATGTCTGTTTTTGAGGTGATTGACATCGTGATTAAATATAATAGTGTCCTGAATTTTGACATCCTTTTAGAACTGAAGTCCAGAATTTCAGAAATGTTAACTGCTGTTTGTATCTGTGGTTTTTTTCGTTTGTTTTTAGCCAACATTTGCTCTTTCTATCCAGTTTTATGAATAGTAAAATTTCAGTATCTTGGTCAATCATTTATTTTTAATCCCTCTTGTCTCCCTCCCCCAAGCCAGGTTTGAATCCAGACTATTATAGATGTCTGATGGCATGTGACAGAGTAATTAATACATGTTTAAGACAACTCTATAATTTATCAAACACTAGCACAGCTGCAAAAAATAAATAAATAAAATAACAAAGAATTTGAAAAATCCCTTAGAAGAATGGAGTAATAGGATTTGACCTTTACCTGACATTTCTCTCCTTACGTGGATATAAACAATTCTGGAGCTTTATGCAATTAGCAGATTCTTAAATTGTGTTCTGGGTTGTACTTCCCCCACCCACCCAAACAAACAAACAAGGTAGCCAGTTGTAAAAACGTTTAAGATTTCACTAGAATTTATATCTTACCTTCCTTGCTTGGGTTGAGGTCTGCCTATACTTACACATTTAAAAAATTTTTTCATTGCTGGTATTTAAAGAAATGAAACCTGAAATCAAAGCCTAATTCACCAATAAAACTAATGTTTTCATTTACTTTCTTACTTAAGACCTTACACTTTTAGTTCATTAGGTGATGTTTTACAAAATATTGATACAAAAAATATCTTGCTTACTCTAAACTTTATAGTCTAAATGAAGCATTTTCTCATTGCTTATTGACAAATGTACAAAATCCTGCATATCTTAAAATGAGCACTTAATTGAAATGTAGTATGTACACTTAGTGGTTAAAACTTTTGCAATCTTATTTTTAGATTTGTTACAATCAGATGGGTGGAGTGTACCAATGCACAGAAAGACTAAGGATAACATTCAAGAGAGGAGTGAAGGGAATAAACCATTGAAAAGACTATTTCTAACCAAACAAGGGAGAAAAAAGGGACTCAGTTGAATAGGATCTAATCCCTGGTTAGTCCCACACAGCAGTAGTGGCGTCAGGCTTGGGAGCCACATCTTAGTTTAAGAGCAAGGTCAAAACTAGGTCCTGTTTTTAGAAGGCGAGGAGGCACAGATTCACCAACGATGAAAGCTGAGGAGCCTACAGTAGCCAGGGTTGGCGCAAAAGCCCAGGTCGACCTACTCTGGAACACTAGTGACTGTAGTACTATCTGTGCTGCTGATGGTAGTAAAATTGACAGATGTCTCATTGATAATTACTTTTTAAAAATTTTAAGTTAAAACCAAAGGAAAACAAGATTTGGGTAGTCTGATTTAGCCTTTAAACAGTCATGGACATTGAAGCCAAATTGTTTGTAAATTTACAGTATGGTAAATTATCTTTAAATGTGTATCATGTTCTCTTAGTAATTTGTCATTTAAGAACACATAGTCTGGGTGTTAGTCCTGTCTTAATATAAAAATGAGAAAAGGGCTGTGGTGAATATTTTGGGAACATAAAATTGAGTCTAGGAGTTATGATACATTCAAGGTCTGATCCTTATTGTTTTTAATGAATTGTTTTCATTTATGTAGTGCTATAGATGAGCTATAGGTTCTTTTTGCATCAATGTAGATAATACCTCAAATACTTCCTGAGGACTTATGCAGGAGTCCAGGGCCCTGTGCCAGGTGCTGGGACTACAGTAGTAAATCCAGTAGGTGCGCTGTATAGTTACTCTCCTGGGTGACACACAGGGGCACTTGGAGGTGCTTTATGAAGGAGCTGAGCTGAGCCTGAACTAAGGTCTGAGCAGGAGGCAGGCAGCTGAGGCAAACGAGGGGGCAGGGATGGCCCTGGTCTATCAGGGAATGCTCCCCAGTGACGTGGTGAAAACCTCATCGACAGGATTTAGACAATGCTTAATTTTTCTGTTCTTTAATGTTTCCCTGGTTTTTCCTCTGATGTTTTATCTGTTCTAGTGATGCCTTATTTGAAAACAGCTTGAAAACTGAAAAAGAAGGAAATTGGATCTAGAAAGCTTTTAGGCTCTGAAGTAATTTGGCTTTTTTCTTTTTTTTTGGTATAAAGTTTTTATATAATCATGAGTAGAATCATTAATTCGAGCACTAATAACAAGAATGAAAATTATAATGTAACAGACCAAAATAATACCCAGCTGGTTTGTTATAGCCTATTAGTAAAGTAAAATACTATTGAAATACTGTAAGTTAAAGCTATATTTTAGTGTGTGTTTTTTTAATATTAGTAACTAGGAATTGAGAATTTAGATGTGGGAAGGGGGGAGATGTATTTTTATAAGGTAATTTTTATCCTGACAAGGACTATTTTTTTAAAAAGTGTTTTTTGCACCTAAATTTTAAAGTAAACATGTTAAAATACAGTTAAGAAAGTTAAATAAGCATTATGCTTAATAGTGGGGGGTTTTTGGTGTGTATTTTCTTTTTCTCTTAGTGATGTAAAATAGGAAAGAGATACTGAATTATGAAAACTGGAATAATGAAGGACACCAAATGCCTTTACCAGAAATAACCATGTTTGTAAGTCTATACTGGAACCATATATAACTTTTCTTGGACTTGAATTATGACTCTGAAAAAGGCCAAATAATTACAATCTTATTACAAAATACCAATGACTAAATTTCTAACTGAAGGTTTTTTTAGTTAACAAACAGAAAAGCAGCATAAGCCAGAAAGGATTTTTAACTGCAGGTTTAATAAAATTATTTTAAGGAGTTCTCTTCTCCTACCATATCCTCCATCCCTAAAATAATAAGACACTTGGAGTCAAACAACTGGTTTTTTAAGCTCAAATCAGTTGGAAAATTACTGTTTGAATTCTGATGCTGTCATTTCTCAAAAATTAGTGTGGACAAACCAATCTACATAAAATGCCACCTTTTTTGTCTCCTTTGCAATTTTATATACAAACCAAGACAGTATCAGGGTGACAGGTGAATGAACTCAAATTCTCACTCTTGTCTATTCGCTAAAAATGTATACTGCCTTTCCCCCCCCCCCCCAATTATTCAAGGCCAATGACTTTTGGGAACACGTTTTATATCATGTGTATCTTTTTAAATGAAAGCAAGTGCCTTTATGCTATTCCACAGAAATCATGCTTAACCCTCCACGGACTGCAGCCTATCACCGCGGGGTGGGGGTGGGGGCGTTGGTTAATAGATCCTTTTCTTCTGGAAAGATGTTCGTGATGTTTATTATGTAAGATCCTATATGCGCTGAGATCTAGAGATGTCATTTCATTTGCTAATAAATTGTTAAAACTAATAAAATATTACTCTGTGTCTAAATTATTTAAGTGCCGGGGGGGGTAGTTCTAACTAAGAAATACTTTAGGTCACCAGTGAGCTTTAAAATACCATCTCTTTACCTTTGGAGAGTAATTCAGTCATTAATTTTTCCCAACTGTAACAAAAGAATCTGTCCTTATAGAAAGCCGTAAAGCATAAAGAAACCCAATTCTTTCCTTTTTGCTTGGTGGTCCTAAGGAGTCATTTAACCTTTTGGGGATAATGTTTTGGTTTTTTTTTCATAAGTGAAGAGGGGAGGAGAGCTAGATTGCTTCAAGACCCTTCCAGCTCTCATGTTGCATGATTCCTATTACTAAGTTGAAATCTGAAAACCCAAATCTGATTTGTGTGCTACTGTCCAACTTCTGAGTTTTGGTAAGGGAATTTTGAGCCACATTTTGTTCATCAGTAAATTGAGGCTAACATCATATACCGACTAAGTATATGTGAGTGAGATAATTGGGAGTGGAATTCCTAACTGATACGCACCCGCTTTGAGGAATAATCTGCGCCCCTCCACGATCTCCCCATACCTGCAATGAAGCCTCTCCCCAAACGTCCTCCCCTTTCTACACCTCGCCACTCAGTGGAAGTGTGGGTATAGAGTCAAGGATAGTTTCAGTCGTCCTTTTGCAGTATTTTGTTGTCTTCCCTCTCAAGCTCTACCCTGTCAGAAAAATTAAACAAGCGTTTGCTCCTAGGGCTTCTTCAGTAGGCCAGATTGTCTCTTATGTAGTCCACCTCTGCCCCCTGGTGGCCAGAATATGCTACACATCCCACTTCAAAGGTAACTATGACCTCAGGTGGCATGAAGTTCTTGAACAGGTCTGCAACTTTGGAATTACATTATTTGAGCCTATTTGTCCCTTTGTATTATGGATTTCTGGAAATATTAATAAGTGAAACAGTGCTTGACGTATAACAGGCAATCAGTAACTCTTAGCCTCCTTCCTTTTTAAGTAAAGAGCCCTTCTTAGGAACAGGGCAAAGAAAACTTGTTGCATTTTACCTATTGATCAGGCTGGGTGGTTCTGGAACACTGAACTCCAAGATCTGTTAGTGGAAGAAAGGACTGGCAAGGCAGGTCCCTGTCTTTAGATGATTCTGGTAAAGTTCTAAATAGGGATGAATAGTAATCACAATAGCATTTATAGAACACTTAGTCTATGTCAGGTACACAGGTACCTTTTTATTCTCATGACAGCACAAGTGAGGTAGGTGCCTAGTCCCAGGCTATTGGCCTATGGAGTATATTGGTCAACTGGGGAAAAATTAAGTCCTCAAGTGGGGTTGGAGGAGCCAGAGAGGCAGGGAGAAGCCAGAGAGGGCCTGATGAAGACAGCCGACTAGGACGGGATAATATCAACCTCTTTTAGTTTAAAAAACAAAGCACCAAACAAAAAAAGCTAATGTCCAATAGAATCAAAGTTTTATCCAATGTGAACCAGACTGTAGAAGCTCTCTTTTGGACATGATTTCCATCTACCTGGATCTAATGTTAAATTATTTAAGAATATGAGATTTCTTTTTTTTTTAAAGTTTAAGCACATGTTTACTGAATACTGCTATATACAAGGCACGTAGACAAAGCCTTTCATACTAAAGGCTTGTGTGTATAAATGGAGAATCCCACAATGATGCTCAGAGGAAGGAAACAGTTTTAACTCTATATATTAAAATTCTTCATCATCAAAAAACAGGTTACCATCTGGATTGGAATAACATTTGAGGCAATGATATTCATGGAAAATGTTTGCAAATCCTTTTAAATAGAAGACAACTCTACCTATCTCCAAGTCATTTTCTAGTAGAATCAATGCTTCCTACAGCTTTAAAAGGTGGCTGTGACACATTACACGTGTGCATCAATTTATACACAAGTGTATAATGTTCATTGAATTGCCTATGATGTGACGGGCACAGGGCTAGGCACCATTCAGAATACAAAAGGCTGACTGGTCCCTGCTCTCATGGAGCTTACAGTCTAGTTAAAAAGCCCCAGAACATTGATAAAACATTAAAGTGCTTAACTGAGTGGTAGAAACAGGAAGTACATACTAAGGATTTGGGGGAAAGGAAGGTGGTGAGTCTTCAAGAAAGGCTGGAAGAAAGAGGACTCCAGTGAGTTCTTGAAGAATGTGTAGCTTGGTAGTGAGCAGGGTGAGGAATTCAGGCAAAGGCACGCTAGCAAACATGGGTATGGAGGGGAAGGAGACGACGGTCTCTTCTGGGGCAGCACGCACACTGAATTGTACTGAGCCACCAAGCTGGAAATACAGGTTGTTGTTAACTCAAGAGGGTGCTAAAACTTGGCTGAATAATCTAGTCTGCTTTTTTCTTAGGCATTTGAGAACTACCACAGACAAGTGGGCAGGGGAAATAACATGATGCCAATGGATCTAACATGTGCAAAATGGACATCAGAAAATGAACGTCAGGAGAACGGTAAAGGAAGAAATTAGAAATTGTGTCAGTAATCCTGACACAAGATGATGAAAGCAATTAAGGTGCTGACAATGAGATAGAACCACAGGACTTAGCCAGAAAACATTGCTTTCCTCTCCTAAGTGTTAAAATTTTTAAATAAATGTAATACTTTTAATTCAATTATACTAAAGGAAAAATATCCAAGACAAGCTTTCTGAAACATCCATTTAAACTGATCTGCTGTTTTTTGTGATTGTTGTTTTGTTCAGTGTGGAAGCAGTACTTTCTATGATTAATCTGCTTTATACCTCTGTTTCAATGAAGTAACTACAGAAAGAAAAATAACTATATTGCTATGGGTTTCTGAAATAGCCACAAAATTAACCTGAAGGGGGAAAAAACTACACTATAATACTAGCAGGTATTGTATGTACCTTCTAAAAAGGAAACTGACATTTATCTGACTTGTTAGGAATAGATACTAGGGTTATAAAGGATATTGAGAATGTCTTCTCTATAGGAGAAAAACTTTAATATAAATATGATTATAAATTTATATCATTTTAAATAATTTAAAATCAACCCTGCTCTATCAGACTTCTCTGAAGAACAAACACAAAGGAATAAAGGTTATTTGTGAATAATTTTAGTGAAGACAAATGCAGTGTGTCCTCATCTTGATTACGTGGTCCAGGCTGGATGACAGGTGTGGGGAGGAACTGTGAATAATCCAAATAGGGGATGACCCAAACATTCTCACAGCCATCTCTCTCCAAACTTGCCTCTCACCTTGTCTGGAAATTGAGAGGTACACTGGGTTAAATGTTCTCGCCCATGATCCTAACAGAACTCTGACATTATACTCTACCTCTAAGATCATTTCATGTCTCCTCTTGAATGCACCTGATTTCCCTGTACCCCAGCTCCCTATTAATAAGCCCGAAGCTCTACAAGACGTTTTAATAGGCTGGATGGTTCCTGTTCATTCTTTGGGCACAGATGAATGTGACGCTACTGAAGACTTGTTTAACTGGCGGGGCAGTCAAGAGAATAGCTAAGAAGGTTCTAAAGTTACCAAATTAGCAGAAAGGAGTTAACAGCTCTGTAGTAAGAGCAGATGATTTTTTTTTTTGATGTGATGAGTATTTAGGTGGTCAGCTGAAGAGAGAAGTGCTAGACTCCAGCTAGACCAGTGGTTCTCAAAATATGGACCCTGGACCATATCTGCATCACCTGGGAACTTGTCAGAAATGCAAGTTCTTGGGCCCCCCTAAGACTCACAGAATCAGAAGCTCTGGAGGCAGATCCCAGCAAAGGTTTCAGCAAGCCTTCCAAGTGATTCTGAAGTAAGCTAAGATTTAGAAACCACTGAGCTAGTCTTATTGGGAAAAAGTTGGCTCCAAACCCACAGTGTGCTTTATTTTCTGGTGGTTAATCCAGTAGTTCCCCAAACTTTTATGCCCATTGAAATCACCTGGGAAACTTCAAAATCTATTAATGCTTGTATCCATCACCAGGGATGTGATTTAATTGCTCTAGGAAAAGGGGTGGGCTTTAGAAAAATTTTAAAGATGCTCAAGTACTCCTAAGGTACAGACAAGTTTGGGAGCCACTGCATTAATCAAAAGAGAACACATATTAGTCAAATTTTATTTCCAAATTTAATTCAAGGAAGTTTCTTATTATTTCGGAGGACTGGAATGTTGTTGTCATAATATTGTTTAAATTTTAAGTTCAATACCCTATCTAAAGAAATTTAAAGATTTAAGGATTCTTGTAAACTCCATCTTCCAAAGTAAGAGCAAAATAATGCCTACATTATTTTGTTTGGAGGAAACCTGTAATTTTTGAATCAACAAGAGTTTGTGTCACTCTTCTCATTAAATATTCATCTATGTCATTTAGCTGTCCAAAAATGGCATCAGGAATGCCTATACAAGTGGAAAGGAACCGTCTAAGCTTCTGTACACTTGAGATGGCCTCTGTGATGGTGATTTTTGGCTGCTGTGGTAAAGGCATCTCCCCTCATCTTTACTTCCAGCTTCATCAGTATTTTCACCAGCCACTGTGCCCTGGAGGACGTCTGTGTCCCTCAGCTCCTGAGAGATGATGAGGTCATCATCTGCAGTGACAAAGTCCTGGAAATTTACTTCATTTGGGACACAGGTGGCAATAGCCACTGAGTACCACAACTTTTCAATAGCAGTATCTGCTTCACTGGCTGCTGCTGCTTTGTCAGAATCTGTTAGTTCCACAGGGATGATGCCTGCCTTCTGCCAGCATTTCACCACTGTGGACTGCTTGACTGACCACCATGCGGCAGCGATCATGTCAATGGCCTGCTTGATGTCCACTTGTCTTTGATCCTCACTGCTGTTGAGCTTGAGGAAGATTTGTTTTAGAAGGTGGCTCCTGTACAGCACTTACGTGGTGTGAATTATGCCAAGATTCAGTGGCTGGCGGACGGCAGTACAGTTTGAGGGCAGATACCCCACCTGAATCCTTTCCAAGCGTGGAAGCATGTTGTGAGCGGAGCAGTTGTCGATCAGCAGGAGGATCTGGAAATCTGCCAGCTTCATCCTGGCATCCATGTGCATCAAGCCATTCATTAAACAGATCCTGCGTCATCCATGCTCACTGGTTGGCTCGGTAATCACAAGGGAGAGAATGGATGTTCCTGAGGCAGTGTGGGTTGGCTGACCTACCAACAATCAATGGTCTCATTTTTTCAGTCCCTGAAGCATTGCAACAAAAGAGTGCTGTCAATCGCTGCTTTGCTTTCTTGCCCCCTCTACAATGGTCCCTTTTTGCAGCCAGCGTGTGCTGGGGAAGCAACTGGAAAAACACTCCTGTCTCGTCAGCATTAAAGATATCATCTGGGCTGTAGTCAGCAATCAGTTTTATAATTTCCCCTGCATGCCACTCATTAACCTTATCTATTCCCACACCATTTATTAATCTGTCACTATCCTCTACAGACTGCTTTCAAAGCAATTCCATGGCGATCCCTAAATCTGTTTAGCCAGCCCACACTTGCTTGAAAACTGTCATAGCCCAGCATGTTAGCCAAGTTTAGAGCTTTCTTCCGAATGACAGAACCAGTTACAAGAATGTTTATGGCATGGATTTCTTGAAACCAAGCAAAAACAGCCTTATCAACGTCATCATAGAGAGCGTTCCTTATCCTTTTCCGCTGGGGTCCCACAGATGCCTCCCGCACCTTTTCTTCAAATTTGGCACCATCTTTAAGAATGTAGACAAAGTAGAAGTGATACCGAATTCTTTTGCCGTGTCACCTTTCCTCTTGCCTGAATCTACAGCTTCTACAACTTTCATTTTCTCCTCCAGGGAGGACTGCTGACATTTCCTGTGCCCCTTGTTTGCTGTATCTGCAGAATGAGGGCTGGGCCACAACTTCCAGGGCTGTATCTGCTCCTCCTCGTGGTTTGTTTTGCCACAAATGTGGAAAACCGAAGACAAAATGGAGTACCTATCAGGAGCCGATGATAATGAATTCCCCCTAAAAGACTGGTTCCGATTTTTAAAAGTCCTATTAGGAAACAATAATATAAGGCCAAAGTCAAGAGAAGATCGGATTCATACTACTGAGTTTTTGTAGAGATTACTTATATAAGCTCATAGAATGTTTGAAATAGAAGAGATCTTATGATAACCTCCTTTACTTACACTTTCTGAGCCTCCATAAAACTAACAATGTTTGCTCCATCTACTATGAGAATAGACTGAAATAATAGATGGCAAAAGAGCATTGCAAATAGCAATGCACTGTATAGATTCAAGGGATTATTATCTGACTCATTTTATAGATACAGAAACTGAGGCCCAGGGAAGGTACCTACCCAGGTTCGTACAGCTCAGATTACTTGATACAAATTAGTGCTATTTCTGCCATTCCATAGTCCTGCTGGAAATTCCACCAAAACGAGATCCTCAAAGATCTATCACCATTTAGCTAGGAAGGATGTTCACCGCGGGAAGATGTTTCTGGTAGCCATATGTTCATTTAATAAATATTTACAGGTGTCAAGTGGTAAGGATGCAGCGATGAACAACATCAAGGTCTCTGCCCTAATGAAACATATAACGTGGTGGGGGGAGATAAACAATAAGTGAACAGATAGAGTGTAATATGTGCTATGAAGGAAATAAACACAATCCAGAAGTAGCAGTTTTGGTAATTGCCTGGTTAGACCTGTCATCATGAGAGTTCTCAAAGGAGAAGCTGCTGTGACCTTATGCTGTGACTGCCTCTTCCCAAGGACTGACGTCTACCACCACCACCACCACACATGTGTCTATCCATATTCATGGCAGCCTCTATATGCTAAGCACTGTGCTCGATGCCAACCAAACAGAGATGAATGGAGCAGTGCCCACCACTGAGGAGCTTACCAGGGAAGAAGGGAAGACAAACACTAGAGTGTATGAAATACTATAAGAGAGGTTACAAAGTACTATGAACTAGAAAATAGAAGTAGGGGTGATCAACTGGGTGGAGCATAGATGGAAAGTGTACTCTAAAGAGGAAACATTATTAATGTTGGGCCTTAAAGTACAAACAAATGGGAATTCATGAGATGGAAGGAAAGATGTGAAGGCGATGATGTACTACAAAAAGTAAAATGGCGTGGTGAGGAAAAAAATAAGTCTCTGGAGAAGAAAAAAGGGCCAAATCACAGAAAGGCCTAGTAAGGATTTTCGTTTGATCTTGGAACAATAGGAGGCCTTTAGAGGTTGATTTTGTTTTTGTTGTTTTTTTAATGGCATGATCAGATTTGTGCTTTAGAAAGAGTCCTTTGGTTGCAAAGTAGAGAACCTAATGGGTAAAGTCCAGTTTCCTAAGAGGTGGCTCTAAATTTAAAGAGGAAAAAGCAGGCTGGTCTAGTAGGCCATATACAGCTTGGACATGTTAAATTGTGTACATAGGAAGCTACTGAAGGATTTTAAGCAAAGAGAGGAGTGCTGCGTGAAGAATGGAATTGAAGATGTCAGAGAAAAAAACAGGGAGACTAGTTAGGAGGCTGCTGTAGGAGTGCAGATGGGGGATGGTGGCAGCTTGGATTGATAGTGGAGGCAGTGGACTAACAGTGGAGATTGTAAGAAGTAGTCAGTTAGGGGCTATGTTTTTGCAGATATTGCTGATGGACTGGATGTGAGGTGCAAGAGGCGTCAAGGATAACTCAGATTTCTGGCTTGAGCACGGAGCAATCCAGTTGGGTGGCGGTGCCATTTACTGAAATGGGGACCAATTATTGAAGAGATAAGCACCAATTGTTGAGGATCTACTTTGTAAACATAATTTGTTACTTTACATGCTTAATACAGCTTACATGTGGCAGGCCTGGGATTCAAACCCAAGTAGGCGCACCAGGAAGCCAGTGTGCTTAACACTACAGAGGGATGTATAGCTTGTTCTGGGAACTACCAGTATTGAGAACGGACATGGAAAGAGTCTGAAGCAAGAACCAAACCAAAGTCTTGTAGGTCCAGCTAAGAAGTTTGAATTTTATTCTAAGTGAAGGAGAAGACCATGGAGTGTCTTAAGGAGGGAGTGACCTCATCAAAGACACTGGAGGGTTTTAAGGAGGGAGTGACCTAATCAGACTTACTGCGCAAAGAAGATCAATCTGGCTGTTGCGTGGAGAATCGATTGTAGAGGGACAAGAGTGAAGCTGGGAAGAAGCTGCATCAGTCCAGACCGGATATGATGCTGACTAGGAGAAGGCTGGTGACAGTGGTAGACAGAGAAAAGTAGGCCGAGTGGGTACACATTTGCAAGATAGTAAGGGTCGTCCGGGGACTTGTACAAATGTAGGGCAAACAGGCGGGAAAGGACAACACAATCCTCATCTGAGTGCGGGAGCCTCTCCACATGGTCATTCAGCTCGGTTTGAATCACTCCAGGAATTCACTATCATTCCTGTGTGTGGGGACGGTGGAAGGGATGGGTTGAGGGTAGATCACCGGGGTGAGGAGGACAGCTTGATGCGGCACTAAGAAAACCCCTATCCTGAACGAGCGGGGACAGACTGAGGAGGGCCGGGGTCTGGCTTTGAACGCCGTGCTGAGAGAGGAACAGGGCTGGGGCAACTCGCGGCACGACGTGGCTCTGAGAGGTGAGGCGGAGCCTCGACCCATCACGCTCGGCACAGCCCCGCCCCAGTTACCTGAACGCCCTACGTCAATGCCCGGGGGGCTGAGCGGCCGGAGTGTCCTACCGCCGGCGCCGCTGCTTCCTCCTCCTCCTCCCGAAACCTCTGGCCGGAAGCAGTCCGTCCGCCTTTGCAGCCCCTTATCTAAGCCTCTAAGCAGTTCGTATGGGCCTGCCCCTCAGCTGGGCCTGGGCTGTTGCGCTTGCGCAGAGAGTCGCACGCAGTCACGCGCCGCCGGCCGCTTCCGGTGCACCGCTAGGGCCGCCGGGACGGGTCTCCCAGGCGATCTGAGGTGTGCTGGTGCTGCTGCTGCTGCTGCTGACACTACTGAGCCACTACCGGTGCCGCGGCTACGCCCGTGTCTCTGCAGTCTTTCTCGGGCTCCCCGGGGCTTGACCCCCGGGGTCCTCGGCAGGCGTCGGTTAAGAGCCTGCGGAGCGAACCCGTGCTCCAGTACCCGCCCTCCAACACCCTGTATCGCGACTCTAAGGACCGGGAGCGAGAGGGGCTGTCGCGACTCCGTACCGTGTGTCGCCGGGCGGGGCCGCGGGGCCGGGGCTCCTCCAGCCCCCGGGATGCGCGCGCGAGCCCTCGCCTCCACTTCCTTGTTGCCAGTGTCACGACTGGAGCCGCCTCTCGCCGACAGCGGGGAGCGCAAGTGCGCAGGCCAGCCCCCTTGTCGAGCCCCCGGGCTGGGCGCCTCCGGGAATGTGAGCCGCGCGACTTGCCCGCTCCTCCGGGTAAGTCTTGCCTTCGAGCGCCGCGTTGCACCGCGTCGCGACAGCCGAGCGACCTCGAGCTGGTTGCTGCGGCTCTCTGAGCCCTGTTACAAAGTAGGAGCAGTGAACCTTAGTTTCCCCTACTCGGTACCTTTGGGACATCTGAGATCCACAGAGGGAAAGGAACTAGCCCAGAATCAAACTGTGGCCCATCGCTGAGCCGTCAAAGGCCATCTCTTGAGGTCACAGGGAAGATCTGATGGGACAGTGCAAGTGTCTCTCAAATTTCAGGTACTGCCCTTAACACTGCTTTACAGATGAGAAAACTGAGACTTAGAGTAAGAAGATTGCTCAAGGTCATAGAGCTCTGCGGATGCTGTTAAAATGAGTAACTTAAATTATAACCCCGATCTTTTGCCACCCAGAGCCCTTGGTTTTAATCTTTATATTGTCCTGCCCCCACACACACCCCCCCGCCTTTTTCTTTTTTGCATTGCTGTATTGAGTCCTAGGATCTGAAAACAATCTTGGACCCAGGCTTAAAATGGGTTAGTCTAACAAACAAAAACCCAGGTTCTAGTCTCTTCCTGTCCCCGCCCCAAGGGGTCTGTAGTAATATTGTTTCCTAACTCGTTTTGCTCTGGGTGCTAAAACCTTATATGCCATTCTTTACAGATGCCCTCCTGCAGTTACTGCTTTTCTCCGCAAGACTCTGAAGGGCTAAGTCAGTTATTCAGGGCAAAAAAGCGCAGTCTTTATACAGCCTTGATTTGAACTCTAGCTTCCCTTAACCCAGTGAAGGCACTGGCCTCTTATTTACCAGCCAGGTTGTGGGTTATCTTCTGTTCCTGTGTTGCACTATGACAGAATGGAGGCTGTGTATGTGTGTTTATAATGGGAAGGGAAATCATGTAGAGATGACACAGAACTAGAAATAACCTTGGGAATAATGTGTTCTTATCCAGAGTATATCTTTAAAATTATAGGGGAAATATTTTTTTGTCTGCATTTTCTAAGAGGGGGTTTTTTAGCTCTCACAACATGTCAAAGAGATTCTTGCCTCCCAGAAAGATAGGAGCCACTAATTTCTGCCTCTTCATCTCACTTCAGAAACAACTGAGATTTAGGGTGGGGAATAGACTTGTCAGAGCTTACGTGGTTAGAGTTTAGACTTGGATCCAGGTCTCCTGACTCAACATGCAGTGCTCTTTTTCTCATTATACCCCTTCAGATACCTTATCACTTGCTCAGGTCTGAATGAGATGCGAGTGGGCTTTGTAATACACAGAGCAGTCCCGTGTTTACTACCACAGCTGCCTTTCCCCAGAATCCTAAATTCTCTCAAAAACTTGACAGATGTTTAGGAGCAAGCATATTATTTCCCTCTTATAAAATTCACGTGGTTTTGGGGAACCGTTCTCCCACCAAGGACTGAGTGTCGTGAGTAAATCTCCAATTTAGAATGTAAACTATTTTGAACAGTTGTTTATACCTTCCTTTTCCTGGGGAAAGCTGCTAGTAGATTTCCTGTTTCTTAAGCCAGCTAATATTGGCCTGTCAGATTACTGTTTACACCTGTGCTGTCCAGTATGTAGCCACTAGCTATATGTGAATATTTAAATTAATTAAACTTAAAATTAGTTCAATTTCTTAATCTCACTAGTCATGTTTCAGGTGATTAGTAGCCTTATTGTGGCTACCATATTGGAGAGCACAGATAATAGAACTTTTTCATCATTGCAGGAAGTTTATTGAATAGTGCTAGTTTAGAGGGTTGCCAGTTGAGATGAGGAGCAGTGTAGTATAGTGAAAGAAGGCTCAGGGGCCTGCCGAGTGGCGCGATGGTTAAGAACTGGCTTGGGACGCCAGAGGGCCCCGGTTCGGATCCCACATATGAGGGCCAGAGACACTGCCCTCCACAGCTAAGATGCTGAACAACAGCTCAACCTGGAGCTGGGCTGCTGTGAGTCGCCGGCGACGTAGGCTGCAGCCCCTGCTGCAGTGGGTTGCCATGGGCTACCGTATGTAGCCAGCAGCCAGCGTGAGCGGCCAGCAGCCAGCGTGAGCGGCCGTCCAGAAGCCGGCGACTGATCTGCCTCGCCCGGGAAGAGCGCAATGATGGTGCCAACTTGGGCCAGTGAAGCAACGTCCTCCACAACTAGACTGAAGAACAAAACGACAGCAACTTGTCTGTTCCCCTTCCCCCAATTCCCCACCACTGTTCCCATCCCCCCAAGTCCCCAATAAAAAAAATCTTAAAAAAAAAAAAAGGCTCAGAAAGTTGCATTTTTGAATTTTAAAAAATCTGTCATTTAAGTCCCTATTTGGTGTGGTGGCCTTCGGCAGGTCATAAAGCATCTCAGCCATAGATTATTCATCTTTCATAATGAGCCCTTGCTTTTGTATAGCACTTGATTATTCTCAAATAGTTATGTCTGTGATATCTTTGAGCCTTGCCACTATAAATCTGTGATGAGGTGGGTGAGATATCTCTTTTTTTATGCATGAGAAAATTGAACCTAAAGCAGTTTAAAAAACCTGCCCAAAGTCACACAAGCTGGCAGAGTGGAAAGAAATCTTTTGTATATAGGCACTTACTGTATGCTTGATGAATGACTAAATGAGTCAATGAAGTAGTTTGCTTAAGGTGATGAAACATGAGGGAGGGGCCAGAACTTCTGACTCTGGCCAAGCATTCTTTTGAAATGTTACTATAGAATTCTTGTAATGTGGGACTAATAAGTCTTTGAGTTGAATTTACTGTGAGTATCCCATTAGTGAACATAAGTGAAAGAGCGGTCTAAGCTAGTGTTCCTATGTTTGCCTGGTCAAAGGAGTCACCTGGGGCACTTGTTAAGCATGCAAATTTGCATACCCATTAGAGATTCTGATTCAGAAGGGCTGAGGGGGAGCCCTGGAATCTGTCTAGTAAGTGCCCCAGGTGCTTCTTAGGAACTGCTGAGTTTGGGAAATGACTCGGCCTTAAGGCTCTGACTGAGATAAGGGGTCATCTGCTGTTCCCTTTAGGGTGGATTTTTGAAACATGTTTGTGTTTGACTTTCTTCTAGCCATGGATGCATCATATGATGGTACTGAGGTAACTGTTGTGATGGAGGAAATTGAGGAATCCTACTGTTATACCTCCCCTGGGCCACCCAAGAAGAAGAAAAAATATAAAATACATGGAGAAAAGGCCAAGAAACCCAGGTTAGCCAACATGTTTTGGTAGCTGGCATTTTTAAACAGTAGCTGCTTGGAGAGCTGTGCTGAGGAAGACGTGAAGGCTGCGTCCAGATTCATTAAGAGTGCCATGTCAGCTGTTGAAGTCTCTGGGTGGGCATTGGGGTTAGCAAGAGAGGGAGACGGGGTGCGGAAAGTGACAGATTGATGCCAGTATTTGCCATTCCTGGTCAGATCTTGGTCACATTTCCAGGCTGTCAGAGGAAATTGTACCATACAAATGGTGCAAGCTATGTACAGCAAGTCCTCAAATAACATCAATTTTTTTCAACGTCATTTCGTTATAATGTTGATGAGATGTAGGAACTTAACTGTTGTTTATATCAATTAGCCTATGGTAAAATTGGTTTAATTATACGTTGTTTTGCCACAATTCCAAGAACCTATTGACAATGTTAAGTGAAGACCTATTGTCTTCACTTACGAATATGTTATTTATTATTATTGTTGTTCTTTAAATATTAAAAATAGGGCATTAATAAAAATATTGAATTATAAATAGTACCAATGATATCAACAAAGAATATCCAAATTGTAGCTCTGTTCTCTTAACTGTGAACAGTGCAGACTTCTTTCTGTGGCTACCAGGTTTGGGTCACTTGGATAGTTCTACTTGCTTCCGTCTCTTAGCCTTGGGGAAGTGCTATTGACCAGTGAGATGACCAAAGTCTGTGTGGAGGATTAAAGAGTATGAGTGATAACCTGAATGTAATCAGTCCCCTAAATAACCTTTCAGAGAGTGGAATGACCAGGCACCTGTATCTGTCTTTGCTCGTATTGGGTTTTAAAGCCAAGCTTCCCTGCAGAAAAGATGGTTCATGGAAAAGTAAACCAGACAAGCCTTTGCTTCCGGGTTTCTAAAGGGAGAAACCCGTACACCATCTGGGGGCATTATTTAAATGTTTCTTTGCTATAGTTCCTACAAAGTTAAATGCTTTGAAATGAAAAGCTGAGTTTTATATCTACGTCTTCACCACCCAGACTCTAACGTCGTAGCATTTACTGATTGAATGAGGGGAAACCTTAAGAAGTCATTGCTTCCTCAGGTCGGCTTACCTTCTGTACTATTATGACATCTACCTGAAAGTGCAGCAGGAGCTCCCGCACCTCCCTCAGTCTGAGATCAATAAGAAGATTAGCGAGAG